CCCCCCCCCACCCCGCTTTTGGACAGGGAACAAATTACTGCCCTGGTCCTCCATTCATGGAGTGTAGAACACACACTCCATACTACTGCCCTCAGAGAAGGTGTTTGCTCCTCTGCTGCTGGGGATAAAGATACCCACAATTCTTCCAACCTACTTCTATGATGCATGCTCCATAGAAAGAACAGAAATGCAAGCTATCACTGGTGAAGAAAAACTACTTGCTCTGATCATGGTTACAGCATGAACCATTTCAGAACATACTGGAGGGGGGTAATTCTGTCCCACCTTTACTGTAGGCTGCTTTTTTATTAGTATGTTCACTCTTCCCCATGATTCAAGGAAACCTTCATTCAAATCAATACTTCAGTATTGAAAAGCCATGAGAAACTGCATAACACCTTTTATGACCACAATAAAGTTTCAGTTTCACTGTGCATACTGTGTGATAAAACAAATCCCATAATGTCCTATCTTTCCTGGAACTGGATAGCATCAACTGACAAATCCAGTCAGAGATTTGAAGGTGGCCACCTCGAACTCTTACATTCAGACCAGTCACTGCTGTACATTCACCAAAGCCTTTGTGATACTTTTCATGACCTGGAGCAAATGCTCATCAGTCTTAACAGAAGTGGAATAAAGAACAGTCAGCAGTAACAACAGAGCAGTCCAAACATCCTAAAAATAAAGAATCTCTTCAAGAACTCAAGAATCTCCTTTAACCTTGATGACTTCATCAGAAAATTCTGTGAAAGCTCAACCTGCTTTTTCAGACTTTGATATTTATCAAAGTGATCAGTGAAATCCAATCTCAATTATTTCTTGAGCTTTTTGCATAATAAAGCTGCCAGTTATTTTTTATTTGACAGCAGCCACATGATCAAAAACAAAGTGTTGTGTAGGGAAGGTCAGGGACACTGACACTGAAGTAATTAACCAAAATTTCTTTTTTCAGAAGTGAACTAGGAGTTCATTCCTATTTCAGATCATCTTATTTTTTCAATTTCCTAGGATAATCATATAATTCTAATTCTTAATGTTTTAATTTTGAAAGCAATTTATCTGTCCAGTCTCATGATAAATGCAGACAATTCCATCTCAGAAGACTTGTAGAGTTGATTATTTTAAGGCATAAAATTACATATTTATACAGACAGTAACAAGATGCATCTAAGTAATTACAGAACTACACATTTCTGAGATAATTTGCCCAGTGCGACCATCAAACCTTTCTTCAGAATTGCTCTTGCAGGACAGCAGGACAGAGTCAGCTTGAACATGCAGCCCCTATTCAGAAAAGCACTTAAGTCCTACTAAATTCCACAAAACTTACAACAAACTTTTGGAACCATTTTCAGAGAAAAATGAACTTCAGCACATACTTGGGGTCTTTCTGAACTGTTTCAGAAGTGCCCATGACACTAATGAAATTGCCACATCTGCGCATACAAGAAAACATTTTTAATCAAGAAAACTCCATTCTTAAGATCTTACAGCAGGATTTTATTCTTCTGATATTTTTTGTTAGTACTACATTAAAAAGAAAGTGTACTGAGTCTGGCTGGGATGGAGTTAACTTCTTCATAGCAGCACATATGGTGCCCTGTTTTGGATCTGTGGCTACAACAGTGCTGATAACACACCAGTTTTGGCTACTGCTGAGCAGTGTCAAGGCCGTCTCTGCTTCCCACTACATCCCCACAGCCCGTAGGCTGCAGGTGGGCACGTGGCTGGGAGGGGACACACCTGACCCACACTGGCCAAAGGGATACTCCATACCATGTATCCTCATGCTCAGCAACAAAATCTGAGGTAGAACAAGAGGGGTTTTTTTGCTTCCAAGGTGGCCATTGTTTGGCGACTGGCTGAGCATTGGTCTGTCTGTGGGAGGTGGTGTGCCACCTCCTTTGCTTTACTTCCTCCCCCTTTTTCTTCATCAATTAAACTGTTTTTATCTTGACTCAAAGAGTTCTCTTGATTTTGTTCTTCCTATTTTCTCCCCCTACACCACTGTGGGTAGCTGGTGAGGGGAATGAGCAAGCAGCTGTGTGGGTGCCTGGCTGCTGGCCAACGTAAATCCATCACAGAGAGTCATACAGAAAACCTATTCCAGATTGGTGTACTATTCTCATATTCCAGCATAGAACTTGCCCCAATATTCTGTGTCTATATTCTATTATTTCTGTAGATATCTGTATGACACTTTACATCCAAATATCTGAGCAGAGTACAATCTTCGGCACAACTTGGGGGAAGCATTTATTATCATTTTACTGATGGGTGGAGAGGCAGAGAGAGACTATAGGAAAAGATTTTCAAAGCTGATTAAAAAATTCTGTCCTCATTTCCAGGAATAATATTTACACACAGCAGCTATTTTTTAATATCAACTTGAAGGTTTCTCAGAGCTGAAAAAATCAGCCTCTTACAAGTCTGAGGCCTTCACTGATCTCCCTACTAATGCCCTTCAAAGTACATGATCTGGTTCACAAATTTGGACCTTCATTAACAAGCCAGCAATAATATACTTATTTTCAGAGCCACAAGACATTATTCTCATGTGGAAGACCACATACAGCTGAAAAACTACCATTTTTTCACTGAAATCATTGAACACCAACACTGCTGTTCTGAGAGATTCCGGTGCTGTGTAATATTGCTGACAAGGGTGGAGATACTTCCAAGGTATGTTGCTCTCTAGGCAGGACATCTGTTTCTGACAGCTCAAGGTCTTGTCAGGAACTGACCCAATGATTCACTTAGTTAAAGTAAATAGAGCTGATAGCCAGACAAGTAGTATTTCATCATGTACTTGGCCACACGGGATCAACAGATGTGTAAGAACTACTTAGGGCATCCATATCTTTTTTTTAATTCTTTCCTTCAAGGAAGTCACATAGCTCACCATTACTGAGTTTAGTGTGCTAAACTATTAACTAACAGATTGATTCTATTCAGCCACTCCCTGTAAGCCTTCTACCACTAAAAGCTTTGGAATTTTGCCATGTAGCAGCCGTGTAAAAAAAAAGTTTCAAGTAAAAAGGAAATCTTTAAGAAACAGTGTAATTGCCCTCCACCAAAAAAAAAGGAGGGTGCATGCAATGAATAATGTGCAAATGAGTTCTCCTTCTGCCTATTTAAGCAAATGTCTGAGCATTTCACAAACCTCAATACATAATCTATTTGTCATCCTGACACCCATGCTCAAGCACAGGAGTATTGTTATCTCATTTTACAGATTTAAAATTGAGGCATTAAGTGACTCACTGAAGATTTCTCAGGAAGCTATTCATAGGAAACACAATCCAGATGTCCTAAGCTGCAAGTGAACGGGAGAACCTTTTGAAACAATGGCCATCCCCATTAGAATTACACATAATGAAAAAGGTCTTTAGCCCACTTGTTAGACTCGGGTTTGGAACAGACTGAGCTTATGCTTTTGTAACATGCTGGACAGAGAGAAACTGCCTACTTTCAGACACAACAGCAAGAGGAATTACTTGATATGCTTAAACAAATATTTTCTTCAAACAAGTGACAAAAACCATTAGGTTCAGACTACCTCTGAACTGAGGCAACTGCAGAGAACCCACTTCTAAGTTTTGTAGTCTATAGGTTTAATTTTTTTTTTAAATTTTATTATGATGAAGATGCCTTTTCCCATCATTCTCTGAACATCACCTTGGACTATACTTAGTGTGAGATGATTTCAGAATATCAGTTCAGCAGAACCTTCAGTTGCAAACCATGATACATCTTCACAGCAGTTCAAACAATTGAAAAAAAGGATGAGGAGCAGCAGTAGGACAATATAGTATAAGCTGATCAACTTAATGTCACAGAGAATGAAGATAAAGGAAAGAAGTGTATCTGGAGTGGTGAAAGGTAGATTATGCAGACAAAACAGAAACCAAAGAAGCTTCCAAGACGTTGAAACAGGCTGCACTGCCCTGGTGACAGAAGCCCCAAAGTTCCTGGCTTCTTGTTTCTGCACTGATGGACCTATAAATAAAATACCTTCTGATTTGTTATCCATCACACACATGCACAATCTGAAAGAGGACACACTTACCCACTAATCCCTGTCTTTTTAAGAAGTCAAAGCTACATAGTAAGAAATTTTGAAAGCACAATTCTACTGATTGTTGCCTTTGTCTTTTTTTTTTTTTTTTCCTTCCCTATGACCACTGTGGCAGGTGGCACTATGATCAGCTTTAGCAAGATAGCTCAAGAAGCCTGATTAACTCAGTCACAAAGTATAGGTTGAAAGCGTGACTCACAAATTTCTGAACTTACCCAGCCACGTGCCAGTCACAATGATTAGCAAGGAGAGATATAAAAGGTGTCTTTTACCACTGTGAATGACTCCAGTTTCTGTTCTTATTCTTCTACCTTAAGTTGTCCTGCAAAAACCAGCTGGAAGTTAAAGAGAAAGTAATTAGTTAATTTATTCATGATATACTTTACTGCTCTCTCCTTACAGGAGACTTCTGTGAAAAAACATCCCTCACCCCCTTACTGCTGCTCTGGTCAACATGTGGGGGTGCCAACAGATGCCCTTACCAATTTTCACAAGGCTTATCCTCATTGCTTAGGCAATTTCCTAAGCCTTCTTATTAGTTCCGTTCCTGATCACACACAATTCTCCCAGCTAAAGCAAACCTGTTTTTAAAACTAACACGTTTTAAACTCAAACTAGCCAGCACACTGGGATGCACGGAAAGATAAACCTAAGTGATGTGAACCATTGTATCCATGAATGTAAAAAGGCTGTAGGTGCAAGTAACTCACCAGTTACTAATCAAATCCCTCTGAGCAATACTAGTGCAGCTTCAGTGTGGTCATTCTCCAGTAAGAAAATTATCTCAAGAATACTAACTCAGCTGAAACAAAACAAAGCCCAAGGAGTGACACCAGTACTTTGCCCACAGTACAAGGCCTTTGTCAATTTGCATATAAATTTCAGAGGAATTCTCCCCAAAGTTAGAGACATACAACCATATGGAGAGCTGAATGCCTGTTTATGTCCATACACAGATGAATGGAAACTGATTTCCCAATTTCATTAGCAGGAGAGGGG